TCCTTTTGGTTCAGATCTGGTTCAGTTCATGGTTCAAGATTGATTCTTGAAAATATGATTTTCTAAATAGGGAATACGATTCACAGTTGAAGGGAGAGATAAAATTTTTGAAATTCGCCCCTTATTCCGCAATCTTTGGGCGTCCATAGGATGGATCTCTCATCCCTTCAAAAATAACATGTACCTTCATAAAATTTAGAACTGATGAAGTAAAAGAGGTGCTAGGACTCAATTGGATTGCAATAGAAGTGCGGAAAGGTATGCTTATTATGGCTAAGTAAGCTATTTAATAAGATAAATGACAGGAAAGACGATGCCTAATGAATGAAGTGGGAGGTGAGTGGTGGTGGCACTTAGTGAAGTTGTATGTCGCATAATTGCTGCAAATAAGGAGGCCTAATTGGTGTCTCTATCTTAATATTTGTGTCCTTTATCTTGGCTGCAATGAGATGGCTCTTTACCCCATGCGTGGTTTAAAGTATCGATACACCAAAATGTATTAGCAGGGGTGTATCAATACATTTTACCCGATGCGTTTTATTTTTTATTTTTTAGTTTTTTTTCCAAAACTTCATTTTATGCATATTTTTACATTCTTTAATGAATATTTGGAGTCAAAAAGATGGGCTGGCGGCACCGATATTTCTATTTATATTAGGGCGACAAAATAGAAGAGTAAAAAACAACAATGCCCTGGTAGTTGACTACTAGGAAATCTCTTCAACTAGTAGATGACTGCTAGGAACAGTCTTTGTCTAGTAGTTGACTGCTAGGAATAGTATACTGCTAGTAGTTGACTACTAGCAACAGTGTATATTATTTCAACWGAAAGAAACAACCAAATCTTTCTAGGATGGGCAAAATCAAGGGAGGAACCAATTGAGATTATTTCTTTCAGGGTTGTACTTTGGTTAAAAATCTTGGACATGTTCAAGATACCTTTGATGATATTATAAGGAGTTGGGATGCAGCAGCGATTGCATCTTCCTTAAAGGATACTACTCAGGAGGCTTGGTCCCCTTCAGCTTGTCAAAGACTTGAACTAAACTTTAATGGAAGTTACTTTGGTAATTCGGGTCCCTCTAACATAGGTGGAGTGATAAGGGATGGTGAAAGGAAAATYGTGGCACTATATTCTTGCCCATAGGAGAAGGTGACTCTCTATGAGCTGACATCTTAGCATTKCTTCTGGGACTATAGTGCTGGGCTTTCAACAGATTGAGATGGAAGGGGACATGGAATTGGTGATAGGATGGATTCAAATAGGCATTTTGGGGTTTGAACACAGAAGGCAAGTCTGAGGGAGATTAGAAGCCTATCAAGAGAAATAGGTGTAACTGTTAGATGGGTCAGGAGATCAGAAAACAGCTTGACTAATACAGTAGCCAATCACTGAATAACTAGGGGTGAACGTTTTTGGGCTGAATTGTAAATTTGAGAACATGTGGAGTCATCTTCCCCATTTTTGGGGACAGGATGACTACTTTTTTTTTTCCTAATTAAAATTTACTGTTTCCAATAAAAGAACTCATGAGCCATACTATGAAGCTTTAGGATAGAATAATTTAGCAAAGTTTACAACATGAAACATTTATATCAGAAAACCAATTTGGGCTTATGCCAGGAAAGATCAACCATGGAAGCTATCTTTTTTTTGTAATGTTTGATAGAAAAGTTAAGAGAGAAAAAGGGTGATCTTCATAAAGTGTTCATTGATCTAGAGCAGTGATTTACAAGGCATGGGAGGTGCACGCCTGGAGGTGCCTCCAACGAGGCACCCCCAAAATGCCTTGAGGCGTATGCCAGAGGCGTTGATACCTTTGAGGTGTATGCCTCATATGCCTTTTTCATGAGGTGTATGCCTCATGTGCCTCACACACACCTCATATAAAAAGATATAAAAAAAGAAAAAAGAAAGGAAAATAAAGGAAAGGAAAAGAAAGGGAAGGGAAAGGAAAAGAAAGAAAGAGAAGAAAAAAAGATAAATGAAAGAAAAGGGAAGGAAAGAGGAAGGGAAAGTTCAGCTAGTGTTATGCATCTTCATTCTTCTTAATATAAAAGATTTTTATTAAAAATAAAGAAAAATGAGATCCTCCTTCCTCTTCTTCCTCCTCCTTCCCCTCCTTCCTTCTCATCCTCCTCCTCTTAAGGAGGCTTATGCCTCTTACATTCTGAACTATGCCTAACGCCTCTAGTAGTGGATGCCTTGTGTCAAGCCTCCACGTTTTAAAACATTGATCTAGAAAAAGCATATGATAGAGTTTCTAGAGAGATAATATAGTGGGTTTTGGAAAAAGGGGTTCCAAATAGGTAGATGGACGTAATAAGGATATGTATGAGGGTGCAACTAATGTTAGAACACCTATGGAGGAGTCATTGTATTTTATAGTTAGATGGGTCTTCACTAAGGTTTGATGCTTGGCCTTTATTTATTTGCATTG